TTGCCGGTCGATGACCTACAATTTCTTAAACCTGGGTTAAGTAAGGGATTTAACCCTATAGGTAGCAAAACACATTAGTATATTTGTTTACACTGCAGTGTTGGAAAACACCGGCAGTGGGTGTGTCTTTATGTCATAATTTGCATGTTTTGTGTTGGTTGCCAGAGGAAAGATGGGGTCAGGCCTAGCTAGTGTGGCCTGCTTTAGGGAAGAGCTAATCAACTCTGGCAGTTCTAAATTTGCAAATGCCAAGTTCAACACACAGACAAATCACCATCAGATAAAAGGTGCTAAAACTAATGGCATCAGCTAATTTCAAAATTACATTCTAAAATGTTCAATCTGCACTAGGGCACAAAAGCGATTAGAAGCAGGACAAATTAACAACATTTGCCTGCATGAAGCCTGCACTATGTAAATGCCTGCCTGCTCAGCATGCTGATGAAATTGAGTTATCGTGCCAACTCTGGGACACGGACGGGAAATGCCTGTCCATTGTCCCCCCCTAAAATAAAATAAAAATAAATAAATGTTGTGGCCTTGTTCACTCAGACCCACGGACTAAATGGAGAGAAGAAGGCTCATCTGGACTGAACCGTGGGCGGATGGGTCTCATGATCGCTTCAAATTAAAAGTCCAGTGCGTCCAGTAAAAAAAGCGAGATTGAGGAGTGTGTGTGGTCGATGGCAGTCTCACCTGGCGCGAGTCAGACTGATCAGACTGTGGGGCTGGGTGAGGCTGCACACCTGTGGTGCACTTGTAATCAAGGCCCACAGGATAAACCAGTTATCGCCACACACACACACACTCAAGAGAACATCTGTCATGACAGCATGTTAACATCTGCTCTGGCTGAAACATTGTGCCTATTCTCAAACTAAACTGGGATTATATGCAACATCTACCCGTGTCGGAGGAGCCCAGCAAAGCCACTTAGGTGTCGTGTGGCAGGGACTCATGTCAACCTTTGGCTTTTTACGTAACAAAGGAAAGTACAGGTGGTCATCAAACAAAACACAATCTCAAATAAGAGATATGTGAAACTTGGCACTAGACTGTAATTTCCAAAATGACTGCATGGAGGGTATCTACCGACGTGAGTTTGCTTCATTTAGCATGGTGACACCCGTCCCTGTGTCAATAAGGGAGGTGCTGGAAGCTTCTCACACGAAAACATGAATAATCAGCCAAGCAGTGATAACATTGTAACCCAGACATTAACCACGCCAAACCCCTGCGCTAATCTAATTGAGCCCATATCCAGCTCTGCACCTGAACCAGCTCCAACGCAACACCCAACTCTTTTTGTACAAAGAAACAAACAGGTCTGAGCGATCGGATCTCAATGCGTCCTCAATGCGTCTTGGGTGCATTCACACCAAATCATGGTAGTGACATGATTTCTAATAACTTTTTTATACATTAACAACAATATAGTCGTACATGTTTGTGAAATGGTCATATTTACAGATAAACAAATGTACACAGCTTTTCATTCAATTAATATTGAGACAAATAGCGTTGTCACGGCAATCACCTTCAATGTGCCCCAGCGAGGAACATCTCCTCTAGCAGCCGAGCCTGTATTTATCATCATACCGTAACCCTGCCCAGCTACCCATAATGCAGTGGGGAGTGTTTCTCACCTGGAGTAGCAGGAGAGGCTGGTGCAGAAGATGGTGTTGCCCACGGCGATGGGGACATAGTGTTGATGCAGCCAGCTGTTGACCCAGCCGTCGGGCATGACGTAGGACCCATACGAGATGGCACAGCCTGCACAACATCGTAGTATTATTATTAACAGATCTCAAGCTTTTCAACCAATCAGCAGACACTTCTATCCAAAGCAACTTGCAGTGAATTGAGATCGGAGCAGGTAGCGGTTAGGATCAGACATTAGACATGAATCCCAATAGCGTATTCTCCATCTTTTTCAAGCCAGGGACCCCTTAGAATGGATACATATTCATAAGGACCCCCTATAATAACACTGGATATGTGTAATTACATTTTTTATTTTTTATTAATATTTTCGGTGTGTATGTATGAGTTTTTTGCGGACCCCTTTGGCCATATGACCCCACTTTGATAATCACTACTTCACACCTTGCATACCTTTTGACTGGGAGTCACTCACTACACTCTATCCTGCCTGCGGTCAAGTTTTTCCCTGGTCTAACATCTGGAATCAGCCTTACCCCTTAAAATACTGCGTTGCCATCAGCGTCACCACGTCAATTCACTATTAAATGTGCTCCAACTGGGAGCATCAGCAAACCTTTCTCTGTTCATTGAAAACTGTCCATATCAAAGAATGATGTCATCATATTTGAATGAGAAGCCATCGGATGGAGCCATCGGGGGCAGCGAGTGAAAAGGTTGCAACTGCTGACTGTTAGTGTCATTTGAATTCAATAGCATGAATGGCACATAACAAAGGAGTGCACCTGATATAGGTAGCACACTCGCAGAAAACTTTTGGGATAACAATGTTACATGCAAATACCACCACATGATTTGTTGAAAAGGCGATTTGAATATGTAATGGTTGTCATCTCTACGTACATTTTAACAGTGCTCGCGCTCCACTGCAGACCAGAGCGGATAAAATGCAAAAAAAGACAAAACGCCGGTCAGGTCACACACAAAACAAAACAAACTTGCAACATTTATCGCAGTAATATAACAAAAAAAATAACAATCACATCTCCCAAGATAAAAAAAACGGTAGGGCAGAAAGCTTATACTCAAAGACTAATGTAAATATTTGTATTTGTATTTTTCACAGGTCCAAAAACAACTTCTTCACAGTAAAAGCGGCCTGACCGTATGGAAGTTGTGAGACAAAGCAAACAGTGATCTAAGCACTGCTACGCCTCTAGAAACACACGTGTCTGCCAAGAAACAACACTTAAAGATTAATACTAACTTAGGACTCAAAGATTAATCTTAAATTGTTAATATTTGTGTACTTAAAGTTGAAGGTCACCTTGACATTTGTCAGTGACCCTTATATTCCTGTGATTAAACAACAAAGATATTCCAATGATTATCGAAATATAATCATCACAAAAGTATTGAGGGTGTTTAAAAATCAAAAACTAACTTTATGTAATCCATCCTCAAGCTCGAAATGAAATATAAAGTGAGACCTTTTCCTTCATGCATTTTTGTTTTCTTTTTGAATGCGCATGCAAAACCAAGTACTCCAAACGTACTGTGTGAGACCAAACCTGGGGATCTAAATGTATCTTCAACAATGATTTCATTCTCATTCTCATTTTTATCAAAGGCTTCCTCAATGCGACATATCGGTTTCTACCCTAACAGGAAATTGCAGACCGTATGTAAAATCCAGCAGCCGCAATGTGAAATGCAGGCCAGTCCCTCGCTTGTCACTTTAACCCAATGGACCAGAGGAAGAGAAACTGCTCCGTTGTGTATTAAACGTTCAGTTAGCCAACAAAGTAGACAGGATAGGTTCTCGTACCAGTGTTTCCTAACCTGATATGTACATGAGGTCAGAGGGAGACTGCTGACTCATAAGCTGGAGATATTTGATGGTACATTTTTGATGGAAAAAAAAGAAGGTTTGAAAGGTCTCGTAAAAGGCCTCCGTATAGACAGACTGCCTAATGATTCGTACCCATGAGTGAACTACGACTAACTGCTTAATGTGGCGTGATGTTGCGGGTTAAAATTATGTGTGGGGGAAGCAAATCCAATTTGGGGTCACTACCAGTTGCTGAGTCAAGCTGAGGAGTAAATCACGCTGACATAGGAAACTAAAGTTGAACAACCGATGTGATTAGCAATCTTAAAACTTAAATCTTCTGCAAATGACGCAATGCAACACGCGGCCATTCTCAAGTCTCGAGTGACTATGTCACCACCATGTGTTTTTTGGTCATTACAAGAAGTCCCCAAAAATATATTGTGACTGATTGTGTCTGATTCCAGTAATAACCCTCTGAAATCAATATACGCAATGTAGTCCCATTTAAATCCTATACCTAGACCATAAAAATAGTCTCATAGCTTTGGCTTCAATGACAAGAAAACAAACTCTGATCCATGTGATGGTTAAAATAACGCCACAATATCAAGGCTCTATGTGGATGCAGGTAGTACATGTCTGTGAATCCATCCATCTATATACAGTATCCATGCGTCCGTCTATTTATCATCCATCTATCATCCATCCTTCCATCCGTCTTTATACCCAACATCAATCTATATATCTGTTCATGTATTCAAAATGGGAAATTTACAACCAAATAACAAATCATTAACAGCATCACAAAATAATGAATGAATGAACGTGGTGAACAGAAATGAATGAAGAAACAAATTGGAGTGAATACCCTACCCAGGCTGTAGAGGCTGAGCGCGCCATAGTCGAAAAAGTAGCAGATGTGCCGAGACTCGGGGGACATGGTGCTGAAGGTGTGAGCACAGCTGGACGTGAATGGGTACACGCAGATCAGCAGCATGTACACCAGCAGGGGCCAGGTGTAGCTGTCCGACAGGAAGTTCAGCGTTGAGCATAGGATGCTGAAGCGCCACAGGAAGTACCTGGAAGGCAGAGAAGGAAATGTGTCGTCTCACTGCGCTCGGCGTGGTGAACACAGGTTGTGGTTGTTCGGGTGCAGAGCACAGAGAGCAGTTATATATGGTACAGTCCTGCTTTCACAATGTGGTGGCCCTCACTGTGAAAACACGCCCAAAACTGAGCGTCATGTGAATGACAAAACCAAAAATAATGGCATATAATAAATGCGTTATATGTAATGCTATATATCAGTCATGAGGGAGGTGGGCAATGTGTACATTGTTAAATAACATTTTAGCTAGACCATTGTTACAAGAAAAGGTTTTGATTGCTTCTAGACTTTGGCCATTAGTCATCATTCAAACACTTTATCAAAAGCGACTTGGATTGAATTGAGATCCACTAATTTAATAGCAGGTAGAGGTTAAGCATCTTGCTCTATGTAGACTGTGGATATTGGGGTTTGAACCCAGAACCTTTTGGCTGGGAGTCAAATGCCCTAACCACTAGACTACCTTACCCCCCCCCCCCCCCCCCCCCCCCCCCCAAGCCATGTTTCCAAGCTTGCCCTTCTCCACTAAGTGGCTCAAGGGCACGTGGGCACCTTTATCTTCAGTACAAAGGTAGCGCTATTCCCACAGAAAGTACGAACCATGTGGGCAGGAAGTGGGTCCAGATGTTGATGGTCTCGTTGGTGAGCTGGAAGCTGCTCAGCAGGCAGTCCTTGGCAGAGCTCTGGGGGTCCCGGTACCCGGAGATGATGCCGTCTTCCCGGAAGACCTGCGAACCGGGGTCAGGCACAGGCAGGTGCGATAACATGAAGTATAATCTGAGACATGCTCACATGATGTCTCGCTTATAAGACAAATACACAGTTTGTGTATACATGCACAGTACAAATACACTATGTAATAAACATACACAGTATAAATACGAAACTAAAGTTGAACAACTTATGTGATTAGCAGTCTTAAAACTTAAATCTCCTGCAAATGACGCAATGCAACACGCAGCCATTCTCAAGTCTCAAGTGACTATGTCACCACCATGTGTTTTTTGGTCATTACAAGAAGTCCCCAAAAATATATTGTGACAGTTTGATTCCAGTAATAACCCTCTGAAATCAATGTACGCAATGTAGTCCCATTTAAATCCTATACCTAGACCATCAAAATAGTGTCATAGCTGTAGACTTTGGCTTCAATGCCAAGAAAACAAACTCTGATCCATGTGATGGTTAAAATAACGAGTATCAAGGCTCTATGTGGATGCAGGTAGTACATGTCTGTGAATCCATCCATCTATATACAGTATCCATGCGTCCGTCTATTTATCATCCATCTATCATACATCCATCCATCCTTATACCCATCATCAATCTATATATCTATCAGTGTCTCTCAAAACAGTGTACGATTTCTACACAACACACTTCCCGTCCTGTGTGGATGGCTATTTTGTCAAACGGACCACATTGAGAGAAGGAACTTAAAACCCCCCCCAGAAGAAACAGGAAATGGAAAGGAAAGACACAGGAAGTCCTCACCTTGGGCACCTGGTGGGTGTCGAGGAGCTGGGGCAGTTTGAGGCTCAGCATGTCGGCGCGCAACCGCAGGGCTCCCTGGCCCCTCTGGCAGGCCTCCCGCAGCCGCGCGCGGCACTCCCGACACAGCACGCACCAGATGGGGCCATCGAGGGCCTGGGCCTCTTCCCCGGGGCCCGCCGGCTCCCATCGCAGGCAGCGGCCCCAGCCCCATGCCTGGCTCCAGCTGCCGGTGCTGCCCCAACTGGCCACACTGCCCTGCCACACAGGAAACACTGGGAAGGACACACAGACACCTGTGTGTAAGTGATATGGCATTTGGTGGTGGATGCTTTTGTCCAAAGCGTGTTTTCATGCTTGTCCCCAGTGCGAAAACAATCCCTAACCCCAGCAGGGTTGTCATGCTCTACCTAGCCCTGTGTGTGTGTGTGTTGGCCATGTCACTAGTAAGATGAGCAAGTGTTTACTTAGTGTTATGTGAAACAAACCAATACTGGGTCATCAAACAGTGGGTGTGCACAGTTTGACGTTTCAGTTGAACTAGAATAAAGAAAAACACATTGGAAATATGATGTGTATAATATTTAAATATGAGCAGAAATGGCCATGGTTTTTATCATGACTACACTAATGATAAGTGTGGTTGAATAATATTATAAAAAGAACATCTGTTTCACTGTATAAGTGTGAGTGCATATACTTTATATACAGTTTGAATGCTTTTGAATGAATATTCTTGCAAGTAACAATTGAATCGCACACAGTACAGTTTGTACTGCCATGATGAATAATTGAACACAATGACACATTGACTTTTGAATCTTTATGTTTATAGAGTCTTCCACCTAACACCAAGTTTCGATAACGGGACATATTTGGACGATTTATGTTGAGCCATAGGGTGTAAATTACATGGGGGACGCTGCGCCTTGTCATCATCACTTCCCCACAACGCTTTGAGAAAGGTTCATTAGCAAAAAAATGCAATGTAAATTTCACATTAATGTTAATGTTTAACGTTAATGTTTATTCATCTGTTGCAAGCCTAGGCTACGCCCTTTTGGTGCTTTCTGCGCCGTTATTACCTATATATACACACATCTACATACCGATCCCTCGCCTTTACATAGCCTACAGATTGAAGAGCATTTCAAAACAACAAAAAAGTAATTTGAGCCCTCATGTCCGCACCACATTTCAACACAAAGGGACGCCCTTGCGTTTCAGCTTCCCGAGGTTACCACTGGTCATCGGTCATCATGGATTAACTTTTGTTCAGCACGGGCCGTGGACGCAATGTCTTTGTTGGACCGGGACGGGACAATCTCCCTTTGTCTGGGGAGCCAAGCAGACATCTACTTTGAGAAAGACCGCCATTGTCACGGCAGCAGTGGGCCGTGGATACGCGAGCGCTAGCATGGTAACAGCATGTTCAGCGCTCCCCAGACAAATCCTTTTTCTGATGGGAGATGGGGGGGGGGGGGGTGACAAAGGGGATGCCTTTGTTTACGGGCCTACACCATGTCTCTGCATGCTACGCACTCATGCCTTGGTCAGATTGATTAGGTATGGATTTGCTGGTGGGCCCCGTTTGTTTTTGTTTTGCTTATCTGGTTTAAGTTTTAGGACAAGAAGTAGTCGAAGGCAATTTAGTTTGCTGAATATAAATATTTATTTTTGAATGTTTGACTTATTGTAGAGTGTGTGTGTGTGTGTGTGTGTGTGTGTGTGTGTGTGTGTGTGTGTGTGTGTGTGTGTGTGTGTGTGTGTGTGTGTGTGTGCGCGTGCGTGCATGCGTGTGTGTGCGTGTGTGTGTGTAAAGGACGAACCGGGGTGAGAGACCATAGATGCACTTTAAGGAACAGAAAACACTTGGCTGACAAAAACACACGCAGTGGAGCACATACACAAACACGTGCGCTGACAACGTGACCACTCAAGGTGTGTGTGCATGACAGGCTGAATCAAACAGCCGGATCGAATGTTGGCTAGACAAAGAGCTGTACTGTTGGTGGCATTTACACCAACATGCCATGGTAATAACATTAACTTTAGGCTGTGGATGTTTACCTAGAGTCAAGACATTTCCCTCAGACCTGACACTACTTTCTCCCTCTTCTGCTCTCATTTCCTCTCTTCTCCTCCATTCCTCTCTCTCCGCCAACCCCCTCCTTTCTAGTGGTCAAATACGGGTGAAATGCCAAAACACTGCTTGTCAGATAAAGCAAATTTAAGACATCACTTTGGACTCTGGTAACTTGTGATGGCATTTGCTATATTTATTACATTTTCTAGACTAAATGATTAATCAATTAATCTAAAAAATAAAATTGATTATTATTTAATCATTCAAATATGCTTAAAACTCTTAAATGGCACTAAAACATACTGGAGCTTTAGTTTACATTTAGTTAAGAAACAAATATTTTTATTGCACAGATTTATTGAAGGACCTCTTTTTTAACATCCTTGACAAATTCTAAATAAATCAGGAAATCAATATAGGACTGTTAGTGAGCTAGACAGCTTTTTCAAGTCACTCATGTGAGGATATTCACGATTATCCCGATTCACGATTATAACGATAATGAAAATTGACCACGATCAACTTAATGAGAGTGTTTATCACAACCCGCGATAAAATCGTACATCATCCCATCCCTAGTACAGACATAGCAGTAATACTCTAGTGTTTGGTGGATGCACAGCGATACTCTAGAGCTCACTGTACTAGAACTAGTATAGCGAGTATATGGTGGTCAGTAGGGATGGGAATCGATACGATTTTTCCGATTCCGATTCCATTTTCGATTTCGCTTAACGATTCGGTTCTTTATCGATGCTCTTATCGATTCTCATTTGGAAAAAAAGGATTCAGTGACGTTCGTCCGGAGCGCATCGAAAATGCGACATTCAGAAATCGTTATCGCATGCTGTGTGCGCAAATGTTTTTGCATGTTGGAAGTATTTCCTCCCTTTGAGGAAATATCCACGTTGCAAGTATTGCAAGTTGCCCCGTTGTCGTCTTTTCTTGTGAAGTGTAACCAAACTTTGGAGCGTTTGTACCGCTTGGGCGCCATGTTTACTGTTGACTGCTGGCTGCACTGGAGTCGCTACGCAACGTGCGTGGTGACGTCATTCGCGTCCACTGGAATCGATAAGGGAATCGTTTGCAAAATTGGCAAACGATTCCAAGGAATTGAAACACTGGGAACCGGTTCTCAACAAGAACCGGTTTTCGATTCCCATCCCTAGTGGTCAGTAATACTGAGTCCGGGCCCGGCAGAGACAGAGCGTCCCCCAGCTGCAGTCCCTGGTGACAGAGTGGGCTTTGTGGACGCCAAGACCCGGGAGGCGGAGGAGAGGGCTAAGGGACAAGAATGAGGGCACACACATTCTCTCACAAACACACACACACACTCTCTCTCTCACACCAACAGACACGCAGGCTCAGAGTAAGGCGACGGCGCGGAGAAACACCCCATTTCATCGCTGTCCTGTCTGAGAAAGAAACTGAGTTTGAAGAGATTGACGTCGTCATCAGGTGTCAATATTTGTGAGGGATTGAAAGAAAAAGCTAGGTTGTGTGGCCTCCTGTGGTCCATTATAAAAGGAAGGTTCATTGTGAGAAAACATTGTTTGCCTGAAAACTGATTTCAGAGGGGAGTTACCATACAGAGAACAATGAGTCAATGGAAAGTTAGCGTCAAGAAGCAGATGGATGCTATATAGACGGACAAGAGAATTTGTTGGCAGCTCCTAATAGCATGACAAACTTGTATGCAGGCTTTTTGCAAGGATTTGCATGTTTTCAAAGTATGCGTGGTTGTCATCCCCTTCTGTGCACCGTCACAAACAGTGACGGCAGTACACAGAAAATACTTTTATTAGCCTTTACGCCTTCTGTTCCAAACGCCCTGTTTTGTGGTGAGTATAGGCAGGCACCTTTATGCAATGACGTATCTTCCTCAGATTGCAGGG